TAAATTATATGTACAAGTTTAAATAAAGTATTAACAGAAGTGTTATGCTAAGATTAAAAAAAAAAAGTGCAAAAGATTTATCATCTTTTATGCTGTTCTTTTGAACTTTGTATCCTGAATAAATGATCAGTTTCCACAAAATATTAAGCTATATCAAACTCTTTTCAATACTGAAAATAATAAGAAATGTTTCTTGAGCATCAAATCTGCATATCAGAACTCTTTCTGAAGGATCATGTGACACTGAAGACTGCAGTAATGATGCTGAAAATTTAGCTTTGCTATCACAATAATAAATTATATTTTAAAATATATTACAGATTGTTACGTACACTGTGCTATGTAAGCTTGCTTATGTATATGTTATTGTATGGGTGCGTTTGTATGTATGCTTTGTCTGTTTCAGACGCGAAGTTCATTGGCGGATCTGCCTGTCACTCTGCTGACGCTGGACGCTGACATCTGTGATTGCGCCACCAATGGTCTGCGGCCGCGCAGTTTATTTAAAGTTCACTAACGTTAATGGCGAATAGGCTGGACTGGGTGATGTTACGGCTCTGTGAGGACGGTTCTCTCTCTTGCGAGAAGACCAGTCTGAGAGTCTGTTTTGTTGGAGTTACGGTTCTGTTTTTCTTGCAGTAGTATCAGAGGTTGTGAGTTGTTGTTGATTATGACTTTGATGTGCGTGTTGCATTTGTCTGATGTTATCCGATCAAGGTGTTGGTTGTGAAACTCCTGTCTAACTTGGTCACTGATGAGAGTTGTGCGAATTGTATTGGAGAGGTTGGGAGTAAGGTAAGCATGTCGCGACATACATTTACATGTAGGTTTTCATTATTGTATTAGACACACCAGGCTAGTGCGAGAGGTGCTCATTTTGTATGTTTTGTTTGATTAGTTAGAGTAAGGTTAGGCATGGCGTCTTTGTACGCTGAAGATGTTTGTTTCTACATTTTTTGTTGATAGAAAGTTATGGTTTGGTTAACCTTAGTTATTGGGAGTTTTGTTTTTGTTTAGTTTTTTTATTTAAGCATCTCTCTCGCTCCTTCCTCTCCTCCAACCTGCTCCCGACTGTCATTCATTGATTGTACATATTGTAAATATTTACTTTAATACTTCATTTTCTCTCAAGCACTTTAAAAGAGAATTAAACATTGTGACTAAATTATTAACTTTGTGGCCGGTTTTCTTCCTTGTGCAGCTCCTTCCCATCTTGATATACACACACCTAAAATTTTGTATGTTATATCTAACAATATTCCTAGACTAACCATAGCTGATTGATGAGGGACGTAACACAGATATTTTAATTTGTAGTAATATTTCTCAATATTACTGATTTGCTGTATTTTTGATCAAATAGCTTTGGTGAGTTCTTAATGTTTTCAAAGAAAAAAGAAAAAAAAGAAAACTTGAATGCTACTGTTAATTAAAAAGTTAAAAAGATATTTATAACATAACATTTTTGCCTTTTTACCCACAAACCTGAAGCTGCTTTTTAAATCCCAACAAAACACATTTCTATAAGCATAAAATAAACCACTTGTACATGGTAAGGTCACTCTCACAGCTGTGACTCCAGACATCAATAGACAAAGCTGGAACATTCCGAACGGTCCGTGAACTCAGAACACACGCCTCCCAGCTCAGTCTCAGGAAGTTGGAATTACAACAGGCATCTGGGACAATCTTCCACAGATCATCCTACAGGTGCTTGAAAAAACAACAACAACAACAGAGGCCCCTCGGGTCCTTATGGAGCGCTGCCTTTCCAAAACCTATCTGCACAGACCAATATCTGCCTGACACGTCCCCATCTCATCCTTTAATAATACCAATGCATGTGCAGAGATAACATTTTTAACCCAACACTTCAATTGCCTATTTTTTTTTCTTTTTTTATATTTCAGAGACCTGCCAGGCGAGAACAAGAAGAGAGGGTGGGAGAAGGTTATGCCACAGTACAACGCTCAGGCTTGATTTGTGCAATAAATCATAGGCAATCGTATTCTCACGGGCAATGCATGGATTTTTTTTTGCTGTGCCAAACTTAGCGGGGTGCCAGTCGGCCTCTTCTAGTCATGCTACAAGCTGTTTTCACCCCACAGCCATAGGGAGAGACAAGGTTTATAAATGTAGGATAAGTGCTCCATCAGCTTGACAAATGAGCTTTCGGAGAGTGTGTTGGGCAAATGGGAATGAAGATAAATCTGATATAATGGCTAGATAACAGCCTACTCTGGCTCTGATAAACACCATCAGCCAGTGCATTCTTTATAGCACACACACATATACAATGATACTGAGAAAGAAGAGACAGAAATCACCATTGCTGTTATTACACAATATTATACCACAAGGCTGTTGAATGCATTCTGATTGGTTGATGAACATTCTAAAGTGTGCAATTATTTTCCAGTAAACGCACAGCTATAAAGTACTTCCAGGTCTGTCGGCTGCATTACATTTCCATAACACTTCAAACTAATGATTTCAGTTATATCAAAGGTCCTTATAGTCTACAACATCAAATAAACCAAAACCCACAAAGACACTGACCAAGCCAACAAATAAGACAAACCAGAGGATAAAAATGGCAATTTCCATGTTTTTCCCACAGATGGAAACACACCTACACAGAAACTTCTTGTCAGCACTGCCTCACAATTAACTTTTTTGATAAAATAGCTCACAACTGAAAAACTACATGATATGTTTTCATTAGCGAGGACGTAACATTGCTGTTTTTGAAGCTGTTAAACTTACAGTCTTGCTATTTGTAAAGACCCTGCTGCCGAACACTTTCAATAATTCACTGGCTGTATTCAATCTTTAAAGCAACCTTTTATATATAGTTGTGTGCAGAGACAGGCTGGACTTACAGTAAGGGAGACTGGTGAAGGTGTATAAGGTGAGGATAAAGTTTCCAGACAATTTAAATCTTGCTGGTTGCAGATGAGAGGCTGTTACGAGGCATATCCAATGCTACAAAGGCATAGCCTGAATCCCTGAGCTTAAAGTCCTGGATCCAAATTGCGTTTTATTAGTGTGCTAGTGCTAACCTTATAGGGTCAACCAGATAACTATGACAGTATAGCAGTTGCAAATATTCTGGAAAAGTAATGGGGAAATGTACTAAGTAATCAGAAATACTCAAAGAGATTATGGCACAAACAAGAAACAAAATGGACTGATGCAAAATTGGGCCAGAAAATTCGAAATCTAACAAATTATAAACTAATGAGTCATTAATCATCTCAACTTGAGAAACCTATTAGCGAAAAGTTGTATAATGGCAGGAGTTACGCAAGTAAGATGACTTTGTCTTCTGCTCCAGACGGCCTGAGGGGAAGACTTTCATGGCTAAGCTCCAGGATTACAGGCTTTGAATGGGGCAACGTGTACCCACAACACACTGGGATTCAGCTGGGGCTCTGCTGTTAAAATCCCCTTTTTGAAGTGTACAAATCCTGCTGCACCAGGCAACGGGTTATCAACAGACCTGACTTTAAATTCACCTCATATTCAGATATCTTGGGTATTGGTGAAGGCTGACCTTTTCACTTAACTTATTTTTGAGCTATGTTTAATGGTCGCAATTAGCACGGTATGATAGTCTGTCTAGTTTTCCAAGTAAAAAGACACTTTTCACCCAGAGAGTCTTCTTCACTATAAAGAAGTAGATGGAATAACAACCAGTTAATTTAATTAGTAACAAACTGAAATGATCAACCCAGTTACAACATTTATAGTTATATTCTGTCTCTTGAAATTGGAAACTACTATTGCATATTGAGATGAATGGGACGGAGATGTATTAGTAGGCCCATGTGGTATTTCACCAAGGTTGAGGAAAATATGCTGCTGAATTCTGCTGAATAGATTTAAATATGCTAAAATATGTTAAACAGAGCTGAGAGGACTAAAATCTAATGAGTGCACATTCCATACTGATTCCAAAAGACATTTTTATGTTTTTTAAAGCATGAAGTTCTCGGACAAAAAAAACTCAGTACACTTCAAGCTTTTGAAAGAAACTTTTTTTTGCTCACAACTTTTATCTTTTATTTGATATCTTTTAACTGCACAAAAGTATGTACACCAACATTCAAATGTTTGGGGCTGGTAAGATTTTTATTTTTTTTATTATTATTGATCAAAAATACAGTAAAAAAATGTACTATTGTAAAATTGGCAAAGCTGAATTTTCAGTTTTCAGTGTCACATGATCTTTTGGAAATAAAAAAAAAGACATTCGAATGGTAGTGCACACTTACATTTCATGCCAGTCATTGTGCACTCTGTCTCTTTTTAAATAAATAAATAAATAAATAACCCTCTTATGTTAGTCTCATGTTTTTTGAGCGATGAAGCCTGTTCCAAACACTACTGTCTTGAAAGAATAAAGCAAACCGGATCTAACCAATAGAGGGAGAGATGTGGGCTGCCCTGAGACACAACAAACAAATGTCTTTACAGCATTTTTTAATCAAGTAAATCTATCCTTGAGCAATAAAAGTAATAATTTCATTCAAAAACATAAGTGGTTTCAAACTTGTGTTAAATTGCACTACATTTTTAAGGTGGAGTATCCACTAAGGAAAAATTTAACCTCAAACTTTTTGCTCCTGTGTTGGATCGTTTTTATGACATGAGCTGGACTGCACTGCTTTGAGCATACAGTTTCACTAGCGGAGGAAATGAAGGTGCTTCTTAAAGCTCCAAAACCTAAATCTCCCTTGACAAAACTGCAAGACTCCTCTCTATAAAAACAGCTATGTCAATAGACAACAAGCAGATCCTATTTGGCCAGCTGGTGGGAAAATACAGGGTCGTCTGTGGCCCGGCTCCTAAAAACATCCAACAAAAACAACATTCTACACTTTCTGCATATTTGTCTCTGAAACAGACATACAGAAAGAGTTCATTTGGACTGCAATGGGTAAATAAATGATGATAAATACAAGGACAAAATAGAAGAAGAATGACAGGAAACCTACGATTTCTCCAAGTGAAGCGGCCAGCATGTGAGTGATGGGGGCCAAGTTTGTAGCACTATAGCCGGTAAATAACGACTTAGTGCTTTCATAGGTGACGAAAAACACAGCAGCTGAAATCAAGAAGAAACACTTTGTTTGAAACAAACTACTTAAACTGCATCAACTTTCTAATATATGCGTAATGCATTTCATTTGTGGGTGTATTCTGAGAGCTAGCGATTCCAGTAATTCTGGTTTAAATATGCTATTTATGATCATAATCCGAAATCTTTGCAGCATGCAGTTATAATAATCTTCTAAAGAGTTTAAAGTAAACTTTTAAACATGCAGCCATTTTTCATGTTTATTAATAAGACATCTAAACTTACCATTGGGAAAGGAGCCTATAGCAGCTGACGGGACCCCTGCATAGATCCCTCGGAAACCTCCCGCCTTGTAAAAGCCCTGCTGGCTCTGTAACCTAGTCTTTATGGTGTCCAGAGGGAATAGAGTGAGATCTACACACATTCCCGCACAGCCGCCTGCCTAAGGGATTTCCACTGATATATGGTTTGTTAGGACAGGACAAAATTTGGCCGCGATACAACCATTTGAAAATCTGGAATCTGAGGGTGCAAAAAAATCTAAATATTGAGAAAATCGCCTTTAAAGTTGTCCAAATGAAGTTCTTAGCAATGCATATAACTAATCAAAAATTAAGTTTTGATATATTTACGGTAGGAAATTTACAAAATATCTTCATGGAACATGATCTTTACTTAATATCCTAATGATTTTTAGCATAAAAGAAAAATCTATAATTTTGACCCATACAATGTTTTTTTGGCTATTGCTACAAATTTACCCCAGCGACTTAAGACTGGTTTTGTGGTCCAGGGTCACATATTATTTTTACCACATAATTCCACATTTTACCACAAATGACACTTTAAGCTTTAAGGAGAAGAAGAGTTATGTTTGTTGTTCTGCTTAATATGGTTACTAAAACAAAGCGGAGATACAGAAAACCACTTTTTATCTAATTCATTATTCATTATGATTAACCCCATTTTTCACCCACTGTGTTTTAGAGCATTTCTGACTATCAATATGCAATACTGTGCATATGGATCTGCAAACAAAAACATCCTTCCATTCCAATGCTAAAGAGTGCAAACTCTATGATTGATTTATTACTACTTTAAAAAAGTGTTTGAAGATAAGTTGGTCCTGTTTTGATCCAGATCAAGTTGAAGCTGTCAATTACATGAAGCACTACTGACTGTACTATTATTACTATTATTGCTATTAAGCGATATAGTCCAAAGAATTCATAATTAGGCTGCAGAAACAAAATGAAGAGAGTAATTTTTTATTTCTCTAAAACCATTAAAGGTTAAAAAAATCTAATTAATAACTAAATTAGGCAAAACAACTGTCTGGACTAAGAAATCACTAATAATTAATAAAAATAATAACTATTATTGCTGTTGTTGTTGTTATTATTATTATCACTATTATTATAATTAAGTACTAATTAATAATTGAGAAACAACAAGAGAAAAGAACAGTATGTTTTTTTTTTCACTCTCTCTCTATAAACTAAAGCAGGGGTCACCAAACTCGGTCCTGGAGGGCTGGTGTCCTGCAGAGATCCAACTTGCCTCAACACACCTGCCTGGAAGTTTCAGATATAAGACCTTGAATAGCTGGTTCAGGTGTGTTTGATTAAGACTGGAGCAAAACTCTGCAGGACACCGGCCCTCCAGGACCGAGTTTGGTGACCCCTGAACTAAAGGTTAAAAAAAAAACTAAAACAAACAATGCAATGGAATATTAATAATAATAAACTAGATGTGGGTGTGGTTTATTTACTGATCAAAGCAGACAGTTTTTATTATTTTTATAATGACGTTCATTTTCTTTATTACTTTCATTATCAGAATCACTCTGGGACTAGTCTGAGATGACTGAAACAAGAAAGCCTCCACATAAAGTGAACACTAACACATAAGCATAAAGACACTGTTACTCTATTACATTAAACTGTATTTATTTCAAGAGCAGAGTTAATGTCATGAGGAAAGATGCCTACGCTTCTGCTTTTAGCACGTGCAATAGACATAAAATGCACATTACCACAAGGGAGGCTGTGAACTCTCGTCTGTCCATATTGTATGTGAGGACTGCGGCATTAAGCAGGTGATTTATCTTTGACACTCTATGCAAGAACTATCGCACGCTCATCATGGGCGCCGCCATGTTTAAGGCGTGTGCTTCCACTGACGCCACGTGATGACAACAGTAGTAGAACTGCAGAGGAATATCAATATATTATCAACGTTAGATCTTTTATTTTGTTTTTAAACTATTTTCTAAATTAAACATTTTCTTACCTTACATCTCTATTTAATTGTGAACATTTATTTATTCATTTATTTAAAGGTAAATGGTTGCTTTTAGAAACTTTAATCTCCCTGCTCTAGGAATTGGATTCTGGTTTTGAATTTAGAATGGTTTGGTTTAGCATTAAATGCTCAAAATAAAATCCAGTATGGCGTCATAATAGGTCCAGCAGGGGGAACTATTATTCCATCAAAGTTTCCAATTACACGAAGACAAAACAAGTTTATACACTGGTTTATAGAAAATATATACAATTAAATAATAATAATATTAATATTAATATTAATAATATATTAATATAATATATTAATAATACTAATATTATTAATATTATTATTAAAATTAAACAATCACATTTTGTATACAGTACAATAGGTTTTAACTGTGATGAAGTGAAATAAAATTTACATTTTGTGTTCACGTCACGTCCAATAGTGCCGTTTCAATTAAATAAGACAATCTAAAATCATTATTTATTTATTTTTATTTCAGTTCAAATTAGTATATATATTTTACACTAAACAAAAACACTTTACCAAAATATTTTAGCTTATTTGTTTACAACGAATGAGGATAGCGCTATACACACATATACATATACATATACATATAAGCTAAATACAGCACATATTAAATAAATACACATATTAACATTATATCTATATAACGTCTGGTAGGGCAAATTTTCACATTTTATTGAGATTAATGACATGTAGCCTACTTGAAATGTTATAAATGCACATTATTTTTTGACCAAACAATGATTTGTTAATTTAAAAATAATTTCACATTATTAGAGAAGCCCATTTCAGCCACAATAATAGCATAAGTTATAATTATGACATAAAAAGTAATTGTGACAAAATTTTGAAATTTTTTTTTTTTATGTCATAATTATGACTTTTTATGTCATATTTGTGATTTACCAAGGCATCGTTTTTGAAATTGGAAATTGGCTTCCATATTGTTGTAGTCAATATTTTGAGGTCAATAAAAAAGTATGTGTCTAGACAAAAAAAAATAAACTACTAAATAAATAAATAAATAAATAAGCACCCTGAGAAACATTATTCGCCAGAGTAAAAAAAATCGAACCCGCTTTTGGGGCGTCTTCTGCGCGATGACGTTACCTGCGTGATGACATCCTTGCTATCACAGGGTTGTTTTGGAGGAAGTTAAAGCAGATCCAGAAACAGAAAGAGAAAAAAGGACCCGTCTTTTAACATTGGGGCAATAACAGTTACAGCACCCGTATCGGTATCCCCGATTCCGGATTAGTTCACTCATACACTAGCCTAAACGATCCAGTGCTCCGCTGGCGACAGGGGCTGAAGTTATTGTTTGTTTTCTTCATAAACATCAGGCTTGTGTAAGGGCACGGTAGCAATTTAGCTCACAGGCTACACCACAGCACTAATACAGACATTCGCTAGATCTCCTGCTTTGTAAATCAGGTGAGTTATTAAATCAACATGTATGCTTGTAACTTACATGTTCAATCCAGACACGTCGTGGATTTGTGAAGAGATGGTGTGATTGACATGTAAGCTAACTGACGTTAGCAAACGGGCTCATTTTTTATGCAGTTATAGGACACGGAGGTGATTCAATCCTGATTTCTCTGTGTATGAGCTTTCTTTCTGGTTAAAATCAGTCATTTTTTACACGCTGTGATGTTGATCTGTCCGTTTTCAGGCCCTGAATAATCAGGTGTTTCTAGTTAACCTGACAGGCCTGACAGTCGCGCTGGATTGTGTCGTTTTACATTTGCAGTTCATTTAAAACGCCTCACTTTTTCTCAGATCGTTGTCTTGAGCTAATATACATAAGGCGACATTTTATTCAATGGCACTAACATAATAACAATCAGATATGGTTTTTACAGCGCTGTCTTGCTTTTATATGAAATCAGATGATTGCACAACCAGCAAACGTGTCAAATACATTCACTTTCTGCTTATGTTTACCGCACACTGAAACAGCTGTGGAGTACTATTGCGAAACAAGCAATTTAAATAAAGAACCAGCTACTATTAGGCTAAAGCCTCCATTACTCTATAACCCAAGCGCCTTTATGGTTCACAAGTAGCGTCAATATATAAGAAACAAGCGTATGTCAGTATGAGTACGCACTTGATTGTTTGTTGAAATGGATGGCATTCTGCTGTTCTCATGCATGCTAAAGGAAAGTGTTCTACCATGTGATCCGACTTTACCGAGTGTCATGGGTTCCAGATTAAATATGGAGTCGTAAAACTGTTGGCAGTCGTGGGCTGTCTCTCAAAATCTAGCGAGCTGCCTATCTAGACAATTCAGAATTGTATACAAACTAGTATGTAATATGTGCGTGTATTTCTGCATAAATATAGCATAATACACCAGGGCCTTATGAAGCACAGCTCACACAGAAGTCACTTTCAAACCAAGAAGCTTCAGTTGGTCAGTATGGCAAATTTGCATGACCAGCTGAACCCATGCGAAATCTGCATTTTAGCCAAACAATGGTAAATGTAACCTCACCGCACTGAAAAATGCTCTAAAGTTGTTTTTTGGTTAATTCATTTTTTGCAGTTGTTATTAGTACATCATAGGAACTACAGGGTCATGCCGACATGATGGATGTCCGAGAATGTATTTACACTTCAAGATAAAGCTGCGGCCACATTTACTGTACCAACCTTTCAGTTTTCTATAGGAATCCAGGAATTTCACGTGAGGCTGAAAGATTTTCACACTCAGATTTCGCAAGAAAGCTGCTTGGTTTACAAAAAATGGAATGGCATCTTTTGTAATTTCTACTTGCTTAATTAAACATGCAATAGACCATAACAACTTTCAAAACTGTTTTATGGACTTTCTGTCCACTGAAGGTTTTTTTTTTTTCCCCAAGAAAGACATTTCATCAGCTTAACAGTCAGTAGGTTGTTAAACAACAGTCCAATCCATTGAACACACTGTACTTCTATCCCTCACAGCCTCGTTTTCACTCCTGTCAAAAAGTAAATATGACGATACCCTGACTAAGGTCTATGTGGAAAAAAACGTGTGAAAATATTGCATAGGCCTACTACTATTATTTAAAACATTTATTTTTGCATAATACTTTTTTGCTTTTCTTCTTAATGGTTGTGTAGTATTACAGAATTACTGAAATAATGTGAAATACCACAATGTCTTTTAAGGGACAGCAAGTGTTCCATGTTGGTGACTTTAAGTTATGATGTTTGTGTGGAGGAGCTCTTCAGTCCACTTGTGGATTCTACTCGACCGTGATGAGGGGTTTTCACCTTCACTTTTTAGTATTTGCTACTACACTACATTTATTGTTCAGAGCTCTGCTGGCGTTTTTAGTAACTTAATACAAACCATTTTAAAAGGAAATCAAGCAGTTGTTTCATTCCTGAGGGTCATTTCATTATGCTTTGCTTATCAGGAGCCAGAAAGTATTTGTCAATGAACATAGGCTAAGCTTTCATGTAGGATCAGCATAGTAATAAGTAATGTCTGTTGGCTTTTGATATTCATGCTAATTTTGGTCTAGAAAGAAGCATTTTGCAAGGTTTGAGTGGGAAATGTCATAAAGGGTTGTTTCTCTCAATTATTCTGCATTTTAAATGGAAAAATGATGCCTTACATTGATTAAAGCTAACAAAATCTGCTGGTTTTTGGACACACACCATAGACCTTAGTCACAGTAGCGCTAATTTTAATTTTTGACAGTAATGAAAACAAGGCTGTTAGAAATATAATTACAGTGCGTTCAGTGGATTGTACTGTTGTTTAACAACTTAACGATTGTTCAACTAACGAAACTGACATGGCATGGAAAGCCTTGATTCATGACATGCTAAAAACTGTCCCACTGTTCCTCTGATGTTCTGAGTTTCAAAATGTATCCTAATAGACATTTGTGCACATGCCCAACCCTGCAGTTGGATGCTGTTTGTCACTGCAAAATGAAGGACTAATTACAAAGTCCACTCCACATTTGATTTTAGCTGCCTGATTTTAGCCCAGTTGTTACGTAATATGAAAACGAGCAGTTAAAGGGTACTAATAAGTCTCTAAGTTTCAAATGGCCTGATTTAAAACCACTTGAACCTATGATCATAGCATGTCAGTGGTTTTACAGAGAGTTTAATGTTAAAGCTGATTTCTAAACACTGAAACGGCACACTATATCCTCTCAGTATGACTCCCGATATAGCAGCAGGAAACTCATAAGCATTGATATTTTTTTTCCGTCTGAATGTATGCATCCGGATTCTGTTGCCAGTTTGAAACTATTGTTTGCTCTTGTATAAGTCTGGAGACTGATTTAGATCAAGAAAGTCAAATGAACTTTTATCATTAGTAGTTTAGTATTGCAGTACCATTTTATATGGTATATCGCCTTATTGTCTTTCAACTGTTACATTTGTGACCTTTGAAGTTCAAGTGAAAACACAATGCTTGAGTTAGAGGTGGTCTTGATATGCTCAGCCCCTGTGATGTCTTTGAAGCCGATAACATTCACATTTTTGAGATAAATGCTGAAAAGAAACATCCAACCTTATCAAACTATGCCATGGTTTCAATTATGTCATACTATTTAGTAACATATCAGTACACCCGACCTTTGTTGTATATAATTATACATTTTAGTAGTGATAGTCTGCCATTTATGACACTTTTATTTTGCATTTCTGGTGTTACCATTAAGAATTGATAATATATTGGTACCATATCGGATGATATTGGATGTATTTATATCAGCTACTATTGGTTATTTACACTCTAAAAAATGCTGGGTTGTTTCAACCCAATTTTGGGTAAAATATGGACTAACCCACCTGTTGGGTTAAAAAGTTAATTAAAAAATT